TTTTTTACCCTACCTTATCTCATGCACACACACACACACACACACACACACACACACACACACTCAACATGTTACCGCTAACTGCTAACGGACAGCACACACACACTGTGCGTTACGTTAGCTCACTGAGGCAGCTGTTACACGTTAACCGTTACCGGTGTTTAACGGTGTTTAACGGAAGGTCACCGGTGTTTGTTCAACTCTGACATTTTCCCGCGTTTATAACCGATATACGCTAGCTAACTAGCCTAGCTCGTCTCTCTCGGCTAGCATTAGCTAACAAGCACCGAAACAGCCGTTAAACGTGTTTTTTCGCGCTGTTTGAAAATTCTAAATAATTCCCGATAACAGTGAATTTATTCTGGTGTTAATGTATAATCGGTTCGGTGGGTCTCGTGAGAGTATTTATTTTAAAAAAGAAAAAGAAAGTACCTGAGCCAAGATACAGCAAAAATCCGCTTTCAGATGTTTTTGTGATTGGACGACTGTGTTATGTCTGCCTGACTACAAAGCCAGCGTGCATTCTGATTGGTCGGCCGTCACTAATCTACCCGGATACCAAAATGGGGTGAAATTTGATTGGTCGAGCAGAATTATTTTTCTGACTGGGATTATTGTGATTGGACGCGTTTTCCTGGTCTGCCCAGTTACAACACAGATGGATTTATCTCACAGAATCTGCATAGCAACAGCAGAAAGCACAACTACTTCAAATAAAAATTGTTAGAAATATTTTACTTTATTCTTTACTTACTCTTTGTACTACAGTGCCAAATTAATAATATAAAAATATAGGAACATCTTATTTTATGGATTCAACATATCTGTATGTGTAGTAAACATATTATAGCGTCCAGAGGAAAGCAGACGATTTAACAGGCTACAAAAACATTTAATAGTTTAATAAGTCCTGTCCTACTGGAGGTAATACGTCTATCTGATGTGTGTTATCTAAAGTCACATTCATCCGTACAAATAAACCAGGAAACAACTTTTTTTTTTTAACATTTATTTTTCATTATACAAAAGTTACAGTGAACAGCAGAAAAAAAACTAAACTGGGATAAAGCAGGTGTTGTTTTAGACTGAGCAGACAAACAGCGATGCTTCATCGGTCGCAGCTCGTCTTCATTCGAACCCACTGTGGAGGAACAGGAAGAGAAACAAATTAATGCAGAACAGACAAACATGTACTTATTTTAATTTTCCTATAATTATTCTCCGTTGACTTTATCGTGCTCAAACCTTCCACAAACAATCCTTAATCTGATTCTGAGCAGCGCTTAATGTATTTAAAGTGTTTAATTAAGTTATTCTACATCTGTTTTAGTAACAGCTAATTAAGGCTTCGATCCATTTAGTGGAGCAGCTCCCTGACGCTGTTTGACCTGAACAGGTCACATGGATGAGTCCTGCACCGGTCGGGTACAAGAACCTGATGTAATGGGTAGAGAAGTATAGTTATATAGATTCATGGGTTAAAATAAACTAAATGACGGCCTTTAGCTCGTGTTT